TTATATTTGTATTTTTAAATTATTGGTTGTTTTTCTGGAATTCACACTTAACTATATACCATGTGTTTTATCTGGCAATTCTAATTGGAAGAAATAAAAGAGTTTCATAGARCAGATGGGATCAAACGAATAGGAGAGAGCGCTGAGGAAGGAAAACTGAYGTGGACAAAGGCAGGAGGTACTTGAATTTTTTTCAGAGGCAATGAATGGAGAAGTTCATATAAACAGAAGTTTCATGCAGGAGAATAACATTAAGAGAACTACCAAGGACCTATTGTTGCTGTTGAATCATGTAAGTCTCTGCTATTGCCTGAAAATCTTCAGGAAAAGCCTACACTTAAGTGATCTACTGGAAAGGCATTTAAGAGATGAAGAAAAGTACCTAAGCATCCCATTCAAGTATTTGCAYGACAGAGGGAAAGATGCCAGCAGTAGAAAAAATCCCCAAACAGGAAAAGGAAATGAAGGACATATGTGTGAACACCCACCCATGGGAATCCCCAGAAATKTTGAGGGGGTCAAGGACATCTGAAGTTAAAGCACTTTTGTGTAAATTTCACTAAATGGGAAATCCGGCTAACATCTGGCTCCATGTGTACAAGAAAATGTCTATAGATATAACTTCTGGTAGTTCAGGAGTAAACGATCACACGTATCTGTCTCCCGTTGTCCAAGTTTTAGCCTCTTTTTCCTCTTGATAACTATTATTTGAACATCTCAGAAACTTTACCAATTTCATTCAACCTCAGAAACAGATGGGACAACTCAAGATTGAATTATTTTTCTCTTTTATCATGTCTGGCAAGAAATGTTATGGGGATATCTCTGTTTCATAAGCCTACACAAGTTTTCACAGCTATGAATGCTTAAGTGAGAAATTCTGCTTTGCACCTACCCCATTACCTGCATGTATTTGAATGTGTATTTTGTACTCCTATATAAATACACTGATGAATTCAAATATGTATATGATTATAACTATTTTCTGGAGTGAGTGGGTTTAGTCTACAATAAAAGAACTACTCTGACAAATTAATATAGTATATTGTTATTTCCATAATAATGATCCCAGAGTGATTTTATTTGGCCAGCCATCTGTATGGTTTGAGATTGAAGGCTATTCCTTGACCATAATAACTGAAAGCTTCCTCCTGATAGGAAATTCTATTTAGAGAACCTATAATCGAAGATGTCTAATGAGTTATTGGGTCATKAGAGAATGGACAGGATGTTTTACTTGCGTTTAAATGTTTATGGAACAGTCATAATTAGAGAGAAACCAGCCATCATGGTCTTTGCAATTATTATAAAATTATTATTACTTTCTCCTAGTGTTTTAGTCAACTTTCCCTCATTATGACCAACATACCTCACAAGAACAATATAGGGGAGGAAAAGTTTATTTGGGCACTCGGTTTCAGAAGTTCAGTCCAAAGCCAATTGACTCCATAGCTCTGGGCCCAAGGTGAGTCAGAACATCTTGGCAGAAGGGCATGGTGGAGGAAAACAGCTCAATAAATAACAGCCAGGAAGCAGAGAACGAGACCTGCTCACCAGAGACAAAAAAAATATACCCCAAAGACATGCTCCCAGTGACCTACCTCCTGCAGCCACAATCCTACCTTCCCACAGTTACCACCAAGTTCATCCATATAACTGAATTGATTAATTCAACTCTCAAAATCATTTTACCTTTGAATGGTCTTGCATTGTCTCACACATGAGCTTTTGGGGAATACTGCATACCTAAACAATAACACTTGAAAAAAATTTTTTTTAAAAAAAAGAATCAATGATTTGACATTATTCCTGAGATATGTGCATGATCCTAATACTTCTGAAGTGTTTGAGAAATCATAAAATCTAATCTACAACTTAATGTCTTTCAATTTGAAAAGGGCATGATGATGCACAGCAAACTGGCAAGTCCCTCGGTTAGCAGCAATACAGTTTTCCTGAAGCTGACAATTTATCACCCACCCCTTTTACTTATTAATATTGCTTATTTGAATAACATTAATCATCATTCTTTGAGCCACTTCTAAATCAATGTATMTATCTAAATTAATCAGTTCCTCTTTGAGGTGTTTAATAATATTTCCATTTCTGTTTCAAAAACCCAAAGAAACAAAATCTAGCCTTTACCAATGGCWCTTCCTTTAATTGTTTCTATTTCAAGACCTTTATCAATAGTTATATGCACGCCCTATGAATCTGTTCACATTCATTTATAATATGATACTTTCTTATTCCAACAGCTTATATGCCCAGATGAGCATGCACATGTGCTTGTATTCATGCAAGGTGCTAGAGTTTGAAAAAAATAGATCTAGAAAACTGAGAGGCTGAGACCACAAGCTAGATGCTGGTGGCCATGGGTCTCTATGGAATAGAGTCCCCACCAAGCTGCTTCAGCCTCATGGAGATGGGCTTTGTGATGTGTTGGACTACAGGCAGGGAAGCCAGGATACTCTTTAGCAGCTTTTTCTGCCTCAGGATTAGTGTGTGGGGTCAGGATCTRATGGGCAGCTTTGGGAAAAGCATAACACAGGGTGGCGGTAGCTTTTGCACATTCATTGCCATCAGGATAGGCAGATGATGCTAACCAAGACAATGGCTGCTACATCTCCACCTTTGTACTATAATAAAAAAAAAAATAGAAAAAAAAAGTCTTGCTGGGCGCAGTGGCACATGCCTGTAATCCTAGCCCCTTGGGAGGCTGATACAGGAGGATTGTGAGTTCAAAACCAACCTCGGCTACAGTAAGGCACTAAGCAACTCAGTGAGACCCTGTCTCTGAAYAAAAAATAAAATAAAAAATGGAGATGTGGCTCAGAGGTTGGGTGCCCCTGAGTTCAATTCCCGCTACAAATAAATAAATAAATGAATAAAACAAAGTAGTCTTTGAATATTAAAAAAAAAAAACTACCTCTAACTTCATGACACAGTTTTAAAGTGTTTAAGTCAAAATAGATTCCTTCATGACGAATTCTTTTTTGTGAGCTATCAGAAGTTTTAAAACTTATTTTCACTTAATGAAGTCACTTTCTCATTATTCCTGAGTAATTTACTTCTTTGCTTCTACTTTTTGATATTGTCCTAAACTTATTCATTTTCACTGATCAGAGAGATGTAAAAATAGTTGAAAATTAAGTATTTCCACTTTATTTACTAATTGAAATTTTTAAAAAAGATTACAACTATAGCCTAAAATCAAAAAGGTTTAATATTAACTAATTTCTTCCATTCTCTTTGAATCTTTTCATAATCTTCATAAAAATCATCTGTCTGAAGACAAATAAAAAGAATGCATTTCATACACAGCATTTGTCAAAATGAAATGTAAATGACAAGATGATGCCATAGACTCTCACTTGGGTTCCATACATATATATAGTACATGTGCCATCACAGAAAGGTCTTTCCTGTCCCCAAATGAATATATATATATATATATATATATATATATATAATGATATTGATATAATTGTGATCCAATTCAGAATCAGTGGCAAGAGCTACTTTGATCATGTGTCAAGGTCAACTAGAGTGACAGGAGTTGGAAAGTGTATAGACAAGACAGTGTTGATGGGAAATGAGATAGCAAGCAATAACAGATGACAGTTCTTGTACTGTCTGTATCATTTCCCTACCCTCCTATCTAGGCAACATGTTTCTCAAAAAGAGCAGTCTCTGTGGCTCTGCCTTTTTTCTGAATCTTGCATATGCAGAACAAACATAATCCATGGAGGGTGTGGAGTGAACTGGTGGGGAGTCCATCGGGAGACCCTGGAGGTAGATATTAGGAATAAGGTATCAAAACCTGTGACTCCAAATCCAGCAAAACTCTGGGCATGATTCTGTCCTAAATTAGCAATTTTTAAAACAAAGTGAGGGCTGGGGATGTGGCTCAAGCGGTAGCGCGCTCGCCTGGCATGCATGCGGCCCGGGTTCGATCCTCAGCACCTCATACAAACAAAGATGTTGTGTCCGCCAAATACTAAAAAATAAATATTAAAAAAATTCTCTCCCTCTCTCTTACTCTCTCTTTTAAAATAAAATAAAATAAATAAAACAAAGTGATTTCCCTAAATATCACTAGTTTTTACCTGAGTCACTTTTGTCTGAATCTTATTAAATAAGTTCCCAAGAGAACTTTAATAAGTTTAATAAGAACTTCAAAGTTTCCAGGTCAGTGCTCACTCCAGCCATGCACTTAACATAAGGAATTAATTTGAACTGGAAAAACAAGAACAAGAGCCTGTGGGACACCAGCCTTTGCTTCAAGCTGGAGGTGTCAAAACTGGTACCTTCTGTTCCCTCTACCACTCAGCACCATAGAATTTGAAGGAATCTTAGAGAGCATGTCATCTCCACTAAAGCCCCTCCCAAAGGCCATAGGAACAGCTGAGTAGGTATGACCAAGCCTAGGACCCAGGGTCTCCTATTCCCAATCTGCATTCTCCCTCTACTAATAATAATGTCACTAATAATGACTCTTTTTTTCATCCTGCCTACATGTGCCAAGCATCATTCTAAGCAGTTCACAGTTGTTACCTTGCTTAATCCTACAGCCACCCCCTGGGTAGCTATCTCTTGCTGCTGCCATTCTCAGGTGAAGAATCTGAGACTCCAGTGTGGGTAACCTGCTCAATCCCAAAACTGACAGAAGGGCTGAGCTTCCTGCTCCCTGGTCATAAAATAACAGGCAGGAGAAAGTGGATATAATTGTGAGCCAAATCTTTACTGGCTCTGATAAATTAATTACAAAACGGGCATATGAACCCCATGCCAGAAGCAAACTATGCTCAAAGCCACAGGCCAATCCTATCACCCTTCTTGCAGTTATGAAAACTCTCTTTGTTAACAAGCCACCAACCAAAGCTGCCTGAGGTTGTCTGATTTCTTTGATTCTTCTCTTTTCATTTTCTTTTGCAACTAAAGCCTCCCTTGGAGCATATAAGCCAGTAAAAGACAGTTTTTCTTTTTCTGCTGCACAGAACCTGAAACGGGTGGCTGAGACCTGGATGGATGAATTTGCYGAGTACATTTACCAGCGGCGGCCTGAGTACAGACACCTCTCTACTGGGGACATCTCTGCCCAGAAGGAGTTGCGCAGACAGCTCAAGTGCAAGGACTTCAAGTGGTTCATGGCTGCGGTGGCCTGGGATGTGCCTAAATACTACCCTCCTGTGGAGCCCCCACCTGCCGCCTGGGGTGAGGTGAGGAAACTGTGCTCTCACCTGTGTGTGTCCATCTCTCACAGCCTCAGGTGCTGGGAGGGACAGCTAAGCCTTCGTTCTATATCCCTGCAGCCAAGCAAGATCAATTTAAATCACCTCAGATAAATGAATGCCCACCCTGTTTTTAGAAATCACTAGAAATAAGGATTCAACCCTCAGTATTGATAGCCCAACCCAGAACTATTGACCACTGTTGACTCCTCAGATGGGCTTTTAAAAATGTATCTGAAAAGTCAGGTATGGTGGCGTACTCCAATCATCCCACCTACTTGAGAGGTTAAGACAGGAGAATAAGAAATTATAAGCCAGCCTGTGCAGTTCGATAGTAGAGCGCTGGCCTAGCATGTGCAAGCCCCTGGGTTCAATTCCCAATACCACAAAAATAAATAAATAATCAAGCAAACCTGGAAAATAGTTTTACTTGAGATTTGTGAAATTCTGAGATCTTGTAGAGAATGAAAATATATGTCATGACACAGTGCAAATAAGGGCAATCTGCTATCCGTAATAAGATCCCTTGCTGTTCTCTATGCATAGCCCTGTTGCTGTTTTATATATGCAAGTCGATGGGGGGGGGGAGCACTTGGCTCTTTTTCTAACCAGGGTGTATTCTGCAGAATCACGAAGGAATGCATTTCCATAATACATAGACTGTGGAATGTGCCAGAGCCATATTGGTTCCTGAAATAAGCAGTAACCTTTCCACCTTTGAACACTTCTACTTGATTTCACTTCCTGATGGAAAGAGCTGAATAGCCCCAGGTCCTAAATTTAAAGTGTCTGTCTTTTGGCATAAAAAGGACTATTGTACTGGGTTCCATGCCATTCAATGTTGTTACTGTAGCCATTTCCCTATAGAAAAGAATGTGCTGTAAAGCAAAGACTAGTATCAGATAAGGTGGATTTCTCCTGACAAYTTAACCTGCTTTGAGCAGAGGATATCAAGGGGTAATGCAGGCTGGGCTGGGCCAGATGCCAACACTGTCCCAAKTCTCCAGCCTTTCAACAGCCAAGGGCTGTCAGTCATTTTGGAGGAGATTTTTGATGTCATCCTTGGCTTTACAGTGTGGGTGAGAAGATGCCATTGCTTAGTTATTGTCACTGGCTGGAGAACTCTGAAAAAAAAAATTGTGTTTCATGGTGTGAGAGAAGAGGCCAGAGTGTTCAGGCATCTTTTCCTGGTTGAGTTGTCCCAGTTCCCTGGAGAAGGTGCATTTACAATGTCACAGCAACTTGTTTTGCTGAAAGAATCCAAGAAAATGCCTTTCTCTGCCTTGACCTGGAATATCCCAGGTATGAGGGAAAGAGTCAAGGCCATCCCCTCAAGCTCCATCTCCCTCCCCATCACACCTTCTTAGGGGGAGTATGTGTAGGTGGTCTTGACATTTTCAGCTTATTCAGCCTCATTCTTGCCATCCTAAATATTTCATTAAAACTTCCCGGGAATATTAGCATTGTCCGTCTACTTGTATTGATTTTAGCTCTCTGTCGTGAGCTTAATTTACAGCACTGGAAATTTAAAGTACATACTAGGAAGAACTTTCTTAGCCTAACATATTAGAAAGCATAAAGATTTGTTACCCCATAAGTGGAGAGTTTCCTCCTAAAGTTTTTTGGTTAATTATCTGTCTGTCAGCTTCCCACGGTGGTTTAAAGGCTATCCTAACAAATAACTAAGAAATATATTTGAAGACCCCCAGAGTAGCATTGTGTGATTTCATGCTGGGTTAAAATCTCATCAATCTTTTTTCTCCCTTATGTGGAAACATAAATTTTTGTTCCTATCTGGCTACCACTTCAAACTGCAATTGGTCATCTTTTCTCATATTACCTGATTAATCGGTAACCTGMATTCATAAGGCTACTTGTTCCCATTGAGGAGGTTCTTGAAAACATACAGCCTGCCAGAAATAATCAAAACAAGAGCCACTGAAAGACCCAGTGGGCTACAGCAGCGAGTTTTCATCCTTATACCAATCGCCTGTCACCGCAGGTCACTTGCCCGGAGACRTGGCACTTATTGTTACTGGTTTAAACAATCAGAATCTGAGATCGGATTTTTTTTCACATGATGGTTAATTTCTTTCCCCCAAAGCTTCAAAACAGTAAAGCAATAAAGGTTATGTTTAGGTTTAGGGAAGAATAAAATAAATGGGAGTATAGTTCAAGGGCCCATGCTGATCAGTTACATTTGCTGAGAAGAGATGTGGGTGTATACCAAGAGTGAAGACCTAGAAGACTGAAGAAAGGCAAAAAAAAAAAAGAAGAGAGAGAGAGAGAAATCAACAAACTATAAGGCTTTGCACTGGCAAATAGTTTTGAAAAAGAATCTATTTCCCAGGTGGGACAGAATGCAGAAAGAAGGGAAAGATGCCCATTGAATTCCGAAGGCAGGTGAAGTATTTGTAATGCAGCTTCATCTAAATGAAGTGATGAAAAGAGAGTGTTTTAGTCAGCTTTGGCGTGGCTGGAAGCAAAACCTGACAAGAACAACTTAAAGGAGGAAAAGTTTATTTGAGACTCATGGTTTCAGAGGTCTCTCCACAGAGGGCCGACTCCATTGCTCTGTGCCCAAGATGAGGCACCGCGTTAAGGGTAATGATCCAGCAGAGGAAAGCTGCTCAGCTCCTGGTGGGGTCAAGAAGCCCAGGGAGAGCGGCCAGAGGGGAAAAGGCCAGAGGGAGGATGCACCCTTCCAGGGCACACCCCCCTCACCCACTTCCTCCAACCACCCCCCACCTGCCTACAGTTACCACCTAATCAGTCCGTTCAAACTAGGAGGGACTGACTAGGTGACAGCTCTTATAATCTACTCATTTTTACCTCTGAATATTCCTGCCTTAACAGGAGCTTTAGGGGGATACCTCATACCTAAACCATAACCAAAAGGCTATTWTCTAACTCTATGTTGTAGAAAAACAAGCTATTTCTTAATAGTGGATTAAAAATGACTAAAAGTTTAGAACATATTTGGGGAACAACTTAATCTCTGAAAAGTCATCTTTGAAACTGTTCATATGTGTCATTCTTCCCCCTTTTGGATTTTTTTAAGTAAAACTTTTTATTTTAATTTTTTTTAAAAAAATAACAAAAATCTAGATTAACTGAAACCTTGCCAAAGTCGTAAAGAAAAAAAAAAAAAGTTCACATACACCTTCACCCAGCTGCTTCTTCTGTTAACATTTTATATTTAACAACCTCAACTGGTCTATTTATCAAGTTAAGTCATTAACATTGGTACAATAGTAATTGCTGAACTACAGATTTCATTCAGAACTTGCCCGTTTTTCCACCAATGTTCCCTTTTCTGTTCCAGAATCCAATCCAGTATATGAGAGGGCTCTTTGATAAGTCCCATAAACTTTCAGTTAATTGTTAGCCTAGGCAAAGCTCCTAAGTAAATGTGGTAGGTCAGCTGCTGTTTTGTAAGAAAGTGAAAAGATGAATGTCGACTCTGGTTCTTTTCTAGTAACTCTGGGAGGAAACCACAGACCTCCAGCAACCAAGCGCAAGCACCCTGTATGGCAAGCAGGGCCACCTGTTTCGCACTGGTGCTTGGGATAGTTTCCACCTGCTTCCCTGGGCCCGCCTGACTGACTCTAAGTAAACGATGAAGTGCTTAGGCGGCTTTTGGCTCCAGTAGTTGGAACTCGGTTTGCTCAGGGTATGCTGCAGACCATAAACAGCCCATAAACGGTTGCTCATTTCCCTGACAAATTTAGCCTCAAGACTGCACTTCTCTCCCAAATCATCGCCCTGTTCTTCCCTTCCTTTCCCTTTAATATCAACACAGCCCATTCAAAATGGGAGATGAGACCACTCTTCCACTCAGAACCTTTCAAATCCTACCATCTCTCTCTATGAAAATCAAAGATCCTAAATGGTTTCACCCCCTGTGCCCCCTGACCCTGACCCCACCACCATCATTTACTCACCCTCGTTTACCCTTCTCTAGCCACACTGGCTTCATGGCCATTCCTCAAACAGGTCAGGCACAATCCCACCTCAGGGCCTTTGCACTTACTTCTCCCAATACTTAGAATCACCCAACCCTAGGAATCCCAAGTGTTATCCCATCATTCCTTCAGATCCTGGCTCCGTCTAATCCCATTCACCTCTCTCCTACTCTGCCCACATGCAGAGTTTAGTGAGCTCTCACTCTCTCTCACCCAAGGGAGGAATCTCTGCATCACTCCCCCATTGGCCAGATAAAAATATACCTCTTTGGAAACATTGACCAGAAGGACAGTTTGCATAATAAATCTCAGGTAACCAATTCTGATGGACTGTCAGATCTACATCCAAAATATTCACTTCTCTCAACTTAAGGGAAAGAGGAGAAATCCAAAAGCAAAAAGCCTCTGATCCAGCAATTTCCAACTCTCTCTACCAGYTTTCTACTTATAAGGTAGGCAGAAGAGATGAAAGCTTTGGCTCACATCTGAGCCAGGCAGTGGTCCACGCCTTTAATCCCAGCTACTCAAGAGGATCACAAAGTTTGAAACCAGCCTGTGCAACTTAGCAGGACCATGTCTCAAAATAAAACAAAGGGCCAGGGGTAAACCTCCTTGGTAGAGCACTTCCCTACAATGTGCAAGGCCCTGGATTCAATCCCCAGCACTGCCAAAAGGGAAAGAGAATGGGAGTCACATCTGATAGAGAGGTACTCTCCAGAAGCCATCCTGTCCTCCAGTGCTTTAGAGTAGTGGGTGGAACTGAGGAGGCAAGAGGGCCCAGAGAGACCAAGTAGGATTTTGAGCCATAGAAGTCATACCTCCCTTAGTATCACTCAGATAGAAGCAATGTGCTTTTCTGGGATGCTATTTTAGATGAGGTAAGAACAGGTTTAAAGTGGAAAACTCTTCTTAAACTACTCACATATGAAGTGTCTCTTTTTGTGTCAAGACTCTGAATGAAAGAAACTGAATTTCCTATTATTTTTCTCCTTCTTATCCTTTCCCCTTCTTAGAATTCATGAA